TCCCCTCACCTCCTGCCCTAATAAAACCTGGTTTCTCCCGGAGAAAGCTGCTTTCCCTACCTTGGAAGTGGAGGCAGTGATTCTTTCTCATCCACATTCTCAAAGTCTGTCTTCCTTCTGGTGAATTCCAAACCAGTTCTCTGGCTTTCTCCTGCAACACCCCCAGCTGCCCTCAGACTACAGCACCCACTACACCCCCCTCACTGTTGCCCGGCTACCTCCTGACCCTGTTCTTTGTTCGCTGATGACAACAGGTCCTGCTTGGCCGCCGTCATCTCCTCGCTGAATACCTCAAACATTCCCTCAATCCCAGATGAAGCGTCCAGCCAACACCTGGCCTCACACACATCCCTGACCTTCTGTCCTCACCCTCCCTCAGCCACCCACTCCCACCTTAAGTCCACACCAATAAATGAACCACCTGTGAACACCTGGTTCTTAGCATCCTGCTATCAAATTAGTGCCACACACCAACAACCACCAACCAAGGCAGGACTTCTAATCCAAGAGGACCATTCATTAACCTCGCCATGGTCCTCCTGTCCCCCCTCACTCAGCTGGACATACTGGTGTCGTCTTAGAAGCCCTCCCCTACAAACAGATGACTCTCTTGCCCCTCCTCCCATCCCAGTCACCTGTTGAAAACTCTGACCACGTATAAGCCCAAAGGTCCACCCTCTCCACACACACGTTCCCCACCACGAGAAGCTGACTGATTAAATTCGGAGCTTTGCAAAATAGACGACTTGCTGGTGGAATTACAAAATGCAGCAACTGCTATGGAAAACAGTATGGAGGTCCCTCAACACATTACAAATGGTCCTACCAGATGACCCAGCAACCCCGCTTCGGCGCGTATTTCCAGAAGAACTGAAAGCAGGGCCACGAATAGATGTTGGTACATCCTGTCCATAGCACCTTTATTCACAATGACAGAGGTGCAAACAACCACAATATCCATCAACAGACGACTGGATACACAAAACGGGGTCTACACATACAACGGAGTATTAACGCAACCTTAAGGAAGGAAATTCTAAAATTTGCTACAACATGGATGAACTTTGAGGAAATTATGTTAAGTGGAATAAGCTAGTCACAAAAGAACGGATACTGTATGGTTCCATGTATATGAGGAACCTAGAGTAGTCAAATTCACAGAAACAGAAGGTAGAATGGCAGTTATCAAGGGCTCGGAGGAGAGGGAAACAGAGTTGTTTAATCAGTGTAGAGTCTCAGTTTACAGGATGAAAAAATTTCTGGAAATCCATTAACAACAACAGTGAATATAAGTCACACTACTGAACTATACACTTAAGATGTCTAAGATGGTAAATATAATGTTATGTACTTTTTTTGCCACAATAAAAAAAAGTGTAGTGGGGGAGGGTACAGCTCAGTGGTAGAGCGCGTGCTTAGCATGCACGAGGTCCTGAGTTCAATCCCCAGTACCTCCACTGAAAAACCAAATAAATAAATAAACAAATCTAATTATCTCCCCCCTCCATTTAAAAAAAAAAGTATAAAACAAAACTCTCTGCTCTGTGGTGGTGCTGAAGGCACACTCTTCCTCTGAGCATCACACACCCATCACACCCACAGCCAGCACACACAGCCACCAGGCAGCAAGGCTGAGGAGGGTTCCCACCCTCTTTGCATTGGCAAATCCAAGCTCAAGATTCACTCTGAAGCTTAGAGTCAAAGTAGGGAAAATGAGAAGAGTCAACTAAGCACTTGGTGGCTATTTCCCCATTCTCTCAAATATTATTTCTCCAGCAACTAACTGAAAACCAGTGGCTTTTCTGGCTCTGCCTCTCATAATTCATTCATGCTCATTAATATGCAAACATCAGTTTCTCAGCTGGCAGTGATTTCATGAATTTTTAATTTCCACGGGATGAGCCAGAGATGAAACCTTTAAATGAAGCCAACAATACAGAGGATTGTGAGTGTCGTTTTAATTCCTAGATTAAGAATCTCCAAATAAATTCATAGGCATCATCATGTGAACTATTACCTGGGAATTATCAAAGCAACTCTGAGTTTTTGCTTAGGATATTAATACAGGCATACTTTTTTAATGGTATTTATTTGGGGATTATGCAAAACAGTGAAACCAACGCCACTTCTTGTCATCATTCTTTTTATTGTTGTTGTTTTGTATTTCAGGGGGGATAACTAGGTTTATTTTTTAATTTATTTATTTTTAATGGAGATACTGGGGATTGAACTCAGGACCTCATGCATGCTAAGCACACACACTACCACGGAGCTTTACACCACCCCCTTGTCATCAGTCTTAATACTGGAAAAACTCCAGGCCACCTGGTGAATGCTCACAGAGATCCCAACACTACAGAACAGCCACAATAATTTGTGGCTTTGTGACTAATATGTAAGAGACTCATTTTAGCATAAAGGAAATCAGATAAAAAAGCAAATTAGAAGAGAGAAATTGAGAAACACTGAACTCAATTCCTTCTAAAATTGCAAATCAAATTCTGGATTATTAGCTCTAAAACAAGAAAGGCAGAGGGGAGAGCTTTCTCTTTTGAGAGCAAGGCCCAAGAGAAACATAAGCCACATGTCATTTTAAATTTCTAAAAGCCACATTAAAAATGTAAACAGAAGCAAAGTTAATTTTAAATTTGTTTAACCCAATATATCCAAAATATTCTTATCTCAACATGTAATCCATATTGTTTTTTAATTATTAATAAAATGCTTATTTTCTTTTTTCTTATCATGCTTTTGGAATCTGGTGCGGACTTCACACAACACCTCTTAGTTAGAACTAGCCACGTGTGAACGCTAAGACAGCCGCTAGGGGGTGCCATATTGGATAGGGCGCCTACAGAATGACAGAATAGATGTTCTTCTGACAGGACAGGGACTAACTAGCTCTTGCAGGCTGAGCCAATCTCTGCACTATACCCTCCAGACTATTCTCACTATATTCCTCAAATACCAGCCAGCATGGCGCATGAGCTGTGCCTTCAGCTAGACCAGTGTTAATTCAATTTTGATCATTACAAGACCATCATTTGAAATTTCACAAAACCAGTTTACTCCTATTGTTTCCTGATTTTTTCAACAAATAAACTGACTCGCTTTTTTCAAAAATTAACCTTATCCTAAACAATATACCTGTGATAACACAGATTCGATACTTGAATTATATTTGTTAAAAGATCCAATGCAGGGCTTGGGGGTGTATAGCTTGCCTGCTTAGCACGCTTGAGGTCCTGGGTTCAATCCCCATTACCTCCATTAGAAATAGAAAATAAAAATTTTAAAAAGATCCAATGCACATTAAAATAACTATTTAATGCTTTCAGTGCCCCATCTGAAGCCAATGACGAAACTAAATTTTGTTCTCATTCTCCAACCAGTTACAGCATCATCTTTCAAAAGTTCTCCATCTGGCACACACAACCTCAGGCACCTAACATTTGTACGTTTGAGTATGATACAGCATCTCTATCAAGAGTACCTTCCGTCTAGGCACCACCACAAACCACAGGGATTTACTCATTTGTATTCAACAGTCCAAACACTGCAGAGGTGGAGTAAAACTCTTGCCCTAATGACCATACACAGCTCAGTCCCAGGAGAGCTCGCTTAATAATTAATAATGATAGTAGTGAACTATATGCCAAACACTGTTCTAAGTTAATGTGTATAACAAAATATTGTATTATAATCATCATGATATATGATGTATCTCTCTCACATAATAGTCACAATAATCCTAAGAGGAGGTACAATTATTTCTCCTTCTTTTCAGGTGAAGAAACAAGGTGTAAAGCAGTCAGAATAGTTTCCCAGGGTCACAGAGCTAACAAATTGTGGAGCTGAGATTCAAAGCCAACAAATTTGACTCTGGAACCTACGCTGTTATCATCCTGGGAATTTCAAAGGGACTAAAGAAATGGCAATTGAAAAAGACACGTTTTACGGTCACAAACACAAGTACCTCCAAGACAGTATCATCGGCACAGGATGTGGAGACTGGGGCGACAAGTACCCTCTAATACAGGGAGGGACGGAGGACAAGTCAAATAATTTAGAAGGTCTCCTGTAAATTACAGCAAAGAACTCATCTTACTTAAAAAGTGAAAGCGTGAAAAGTCAAGGGAACAAAGATTCCGGTAACACGAGGAAAAAGAGGATGGGAGCAAGAATGGATTGGTGTTGGCAGGTGACCGGATAAAGAAGATGTGGGAAGAGGGGGTGTGTGTGTACTCAGCCATAAAAAATAAAATGCCATTTGCAGCAACATGAATGGACCTAGAGATTATCATACTAAGTGAAGTAAGCCAGAGAAAAATACCATGTAGTATCACTTATATGTGGAATCTAAAAAATTACACAAATGAACTTATTTGTAAAACAGAAACAGACTCACAGACACAGAAAACAAATGTATGGTTACCAGAGGGGAAGAGGAGAGGTGAGAGATAAATCAGAAATTTGGAATTAGCAGATGCAAAGTATTATATATAAAATAGATACACAACAAGAACTTACTGTATGGCACAGGGAACTATATTCAATATCTTGTAGTAACCCCTAGTGAGAAAGAATATGAAAAGGAGTGTATATATGTATAGCTGAATAACTCTACTGTACACCAGAAACTAACACAACATTGTGTATCGACTATAGTTCAATTAAACAAAGAAATAAAAAGAATGGATTGGTGTGTGGGCTGATCGATGAATAGACGGATGGACGGACAAGTGAACCTTTAAATACTCACTCCAGACTCAAGAAGAGGGAACAGAGAGAGACTATAAAGAGACATCCCATCTCTCCGACCATCCCCGAAGAGGTCTATCCAATGGCTGATGACACACAAGCCACTCTCAAAGGCCATGTAGGTACCTTGTTCTCATCACTGGGACCAAAGTTGCAGGGTAAGCTGTGCTGACAGCCTAGTTATGTAACCTTCATTTGCAAGGGTTCTGCAGTCTGGAAAGAGATAAAAATTCACTTACATGTATTCCCTATGGGCAGAGTGTACAGCGGCCGCGTTGCTGTAACGCCACAGGACAATTGCTGACGACAGGACGTCAAGGATGGCATCAAACTAGGAGAAGAAGACATGGCATCAGTGGTTGTCCAGAGTTAACAGGACACAACTGTGAAGACACAAGGCAATTGTTCTGTGATTCTGAACATCTGAGAGAATTACTCAGCGCACAGAGGCTCCCATCAGTATGGCACCAGTCACTCTTCACCCTCAAGGTGGGTCCTGGGAATTCTGAGCCAGGGCACCCAACACGCCTGCCAGTGCCCTGCTGCACGGGTCCCTCCTGCTGCTCCTACAGCCTGAGAAACCACACTGTGTGGCGTGGTGGGCTCTGCCCCCGGGGCCCCTGGCTCCCAGCACTCTGGAGGGGGCAGTTACCCTATTCTGACTCATGTGAAATTGGTCCCCAGGGCGGGTAAGATCATTTCAGTATTTTTCTGTACACCCCAAGTAAAAGACTCAGGGTGAGGATTCTGTGTTTCTGGCTCTTCATGAGGTTGTTCCACTGGGGTCCAAGGGTGAGGGT